ATGTCTCCTCCTCTTGGGCCTGTGGGTGCGCAATTGGGCTTGCTGCATGTGGCTCTAAGAGGGCGTTGGGCCTAATCCCAACACTTACCTTAACTTGAAGATTGACCACACATCCCAGCACAACTCCCAGAGGTATCCCTATGACATAATAGCACCCTATATTTATTATAGCGACTGTTGTTTGCTTTCCAGCCCCTATTGCCACCCCTGAAACGAACAATTTTTTTTTTTTTTTTATCAGAAGAAAGACTTTCATTAAAAGAGGTACGAGTGATACCTCAACAATAAACAAATTATAAAATCATTTCCGTTCATCAGTCCAACACATAGTAACCTATGTTTATCAATTCAAACTTTAAGGTTTAAATTTTAGTAAATTTCAAGTCAGCATTATATCAGTTTTTACCTCGAGCACTAAACTACTAGTTTTAAGTGCATAAAATCTCAAATAACAGAATTTACAATAGTTCATAGCCCAATAGAATATATATTTGAATAAGGAGAAATTCGCTTATATAAAAGTTTTATACACTACACTTATAAAAAATTTCATAAAAATCTCAAATATTTATCTCTCATTTTTCAATGATTGAGATTTATTATGATTTTTTAAGTGAAAAAAAAAATTATTTTTAACGAATATGGATTGTGACGGAGACTGCTGCAAATTTTAAATGAATTGGAGAACTTGCCTGAGAGGACTGGTTGAATGCTGTTTAACAATATGTTGAAAGCAAGGAGAACTGAAAGACTGGAAACAGATTCAGCAACTTCCTCACTACTTGTAAATAGGTAGGAAATCTGGTGTCCGAATACCAAACACAAAACAAAGAAGAACAGTCCAATAAAAATCGTAGTACTCAAAATCGTTTTTATGGAGAAATTCACAGCTGCTGCATTTCCCTTCTCCAGCTCATTTGCTACCCTTACACTGTGCACAGACAAATCAATTATAGAATTAGGGCAAATCATGAAGAATGAGAGGGAAAGCTTAGAGTTTATACACCATGCAGCACCAAGGAAGCCAAAGCAAATCATGAACTCCCACGCATTGATATTGAGACTGCACAAGTTATACAATGTAACCATAAATAAAGATAAAATTAAGTACCACTTATTCAATTTATTCAAGAGCAATGTTTTGTGCAGTTCAAATTGTATAAAATTAAGTATTGGATGAAAGATGGAGTCTGATATTAGACACTGTCCAACGATAGCTCGATCAAAATATAAAGAGGGCCAAAAATGTTTGGAGGGCCAAATTAATAAAAAAGAGAAATTGTTAAAGGACAAATAAATAAAAATCCATTATATTTTAAAGATTTTGAAATTCTTGGCCCCGTCATGCTAAAGCTTTGTCCTTCGCAGTACACTATTAAATGGGTCCTGACTTATAGTCCGAATTGTAAAATCAAAAATTTTTTATTCAATTACAACTTATTTATAATAATTAATAAAATAATAATAATTATTGTTGTTGTTGTTGTTATTATTATTATTATTATTATTATAAAAAAATAAATAAAGAACACAAGCTTACCAGATGGAGAAAGCAGAGATGGCAACGGTTGCATTCCTCATGTATCCAGCCAGCAAACACCAAAATAGAGTTGTACCACAATTCCAGGCTATTTAAAACCCAAAAATTTAACCAACCAAATTACCATTAAAGATGGATAAAAAAAAAAAAAACGTCCGAGTCTTGCATAGAATTACAATTTACTCCAAATTCCAAAGTCAATGTTTGATTAGTGATAATAGCTATTCATTAGTAAAACTATTAAAACAAGTCAATTTTAATAAATTTCTTTCGAAAATTAGGAATTTCTAAGTCTCAATGTTGATAATTTTCTATCAAACTAAGGGTTAAATGAAGAATTGAAAAAAAAAATAAAAAGAAAAGAAAACCGAGTAAATGATATCAACAATACCGAGTGACGACTCACGACTAGGGTTTGGGTCTTTTTCTCTCTTCTGAGAGTAGCACTACTATCGTGATTTCGGGACTCAAGGCTTATATGCTCAGGTCTTTGCTTGGTTGTTTTGGGTCTGTATCGCGTTTTCTTTCTTCCTTGTTCTCAGTTTTGCTAGGGCGTTAGATGGATGGAATGGAGCTTGGGCAATGGATGGCGTGGGGGGTGTTGGCCTATACCGCAATTCCTATTTGTAGTAAGAATTGCTTTTGAGAATTTTATTTTATAGTTTGGTGTAATTTTATAGTCTAAAATATTTCAAATTGTAAAACAAGAACTACAATCTAAACTATTTCAAATTGTAAAACAAGAACCACTAGATAGAGAGAAAGACCCCCAATATCAAGATGTAGGAAATAGGCATACTTTGTAATTTTGTTTTATATTAAGGGCTTTTATGTAACTTTACATTTTATATAACCTAATATTTATATGCTGCTAAGGGTGAGCAGCTCGGTAAGTTGTTTTGCACCCTCCACTTTCGCCTCACTTTACATGGTATCAGAGCAGATTTCGCTAGAGCTTCTTCTTTCGCGCCGTTAGGGGTTTTGACTCCATAACCACCAGCTCAGTATTGGAGGTGAAGCCATTGCAGAGGATTCCGACGCTGAAGCCAAACCAGATTTCTCAAAGTTCACTTTGTTGGTAACAGCGACGCCTAGAACCAGGGGCGAAGGCAGAAATTTTCTTCAGGGGGGCAAGATGCTAAAATTTTCAAAGTTCAGGGGGGGCTAGATAATTTTTCATATACTAATTATATACTGATTTGCAAGATTTTCAAATTTCAGGGGGGGCGAGCACCCCCCCTCACACCCCCTTGGCTCCGCCACTGCCCAGAACGAGAGTATCCCTGGTATTGTTCTCGGTGACATCTGGAAACATCTTACAGCCACTGCAATCACTGCCGCATTTGCAACCTGCGCCACAGCCACAGTTTCCTCCGCAGCAGGACATTTTCAGCAGTAGAAGATGGAATCGCAGAGCTGAATCAGGGAGAGGATTGATTCCTTTTCCTGTTTTGTCACGATCATAGTGTGGATTGGAGATTGGATTTCTTGATTGGGTTTTTCATCTCGTATTGACGGTAATATCGATTACCCTTTTATTTGCTTTTCTCCTTGGTTGATTTGCATATTGATTTGTTGCTGCGGATTTGGATTCAATAATGACCGAGAAAAATGAGACTTTGGCTATCAAATTAGATGGAAAGAATTTTTCTTTGTGGAAATTCCATTTTCAATTCTTTGTAGAAGG